ACTTGCCTGTAATCCCAGCTACTTGAGAGGCTGAGGTAGCAGAATTGCTTGAACCTGGGAGGCAGATGTTGTGGTAAGCCGTGATCGTGCCATTGCACTCCAACCTGGGCAACAAGCGCAAAAATCCGTCAAAAAAAAAAAAAAAAAATCATAATCAAAAACCTTTCCACAGGGCTGGGCGCGGTGGCGCACGCCTGTAATCTCAGGACTTTGGGAGGTCGAGACGGGTGGATCACAAGGTCAGGAGATTGAGACCATCCTGGCTAATATGGTGAAACCCCATCTCTACTAAAAATACAAAAAATTAGCTGGGTGTGGTGGTGGGCGCCTGCAGTCCCAGCGACTTGGGAGGCTGAGGCAGGAAAATGGGGTGAACCCGGGAGGGGAGCTTGCAGTGAGCCGAGATAGCGCCACTGCACTCCAGCCTGGGCAACAGAGCAAGACTCCGTCTCAAACAAACAAACAAACAAAAAAACGTTTTCATGAAGAAAACTCTAGGGCTAAGTAGTGTATTGTACTAAATAGCTAAGGAATAATCTCACAAACTTCTAGAAATTAGAAGAGAGCACTTCCCAACTCATTTTATGATGCCAGTATAACCCTGATACCCAAACCTGACAATGTTGTTACAAAACAGAAAATTACAAATCAGTATCCTTCAAGAACATAGATGGGCTGGGTTTGGTGGTTCACAGCCATAATCCCAGCACTTTGGGAGGCTGAGTTGAGAGGATTGCTTGAGCTTAGGAGTTCAAAACCAGTTTGGGCAACACAGCAAGAGCTTGTGTCTACTAGAAATAATATATATATATATATTAACTGGGTGTGATGGCACACTTCTGTAGTCCCAGCTACTTGAGAGGCTGATACGGGAGAATCACTTGAGCCTGGCAGATTGAGGCTGCAGTGAACTGTCATTGTGCCAGTGCACTACAGCCTGGGTGACAGAGCAAGATCCCGTCTCTAGAAGCAAAAACAAAACAACCAAAAAACCAACATAGATGGAAAAATTCTTAACAGCAGAGCAAATCAAATCCAGCAATACCCAAAACGTTTATTGTATGACCAATTTGGGTTTATCTTAGGAATGGAAAGTTTTTTTTAACATTGTGAAATCAACGGTAAAGCTTCTCATAATAGCAGAATAAAGGAGAAAAACCATACAGTCCTTCTATAGATGCAATAACTGCTTGACAAAATCCAGCATTGATTCGTTATCAAAATGAATCATATTTAGAACAGAAGAGGTCTTTCTCAATCTAATAAAGGACATATTGGCAGATTATATCTTTATACTTTCCAACAGTGACCAGAACACATTCCAATTCATATGGTTTTATTTTATTTTGAGATGGGAATTTCGCTGTTGCCCAGGCTGGAGTGCAGTGGCACAATCTTGGCTCACTGTAACCTCTGCCTCCCAGGTTCGAGCGATTCTCCTGCCTCAGCTTCCCAAGTAGCTGAGATCACAGGCGTGTGCTACCATGCCTGGCTAATTTTTGTGTTTTTAGTAGAGATGGGGTTTCGCCATGTTGGCCAGGCTAGTCTCAAACTCCTGACCTCAGATGTTCCATCTGCCGCAGCCTCCCAAAGTGATGGGATTTCAGGTGTGAGCCACCAGGCCCCATATGCTTTTCTTATGTGTCATTGACACTCATCCCATCAAGAGGTAGGAACTGTGTCCCCCTTCCCTTGAATCTGACTGAGTGGGCCTGTGACTACTGTGATGTTATGTCACTTGCAAAGGTAGGTCATAAAGCTAAAACAAGGTCCACGTGGTCTTCTTGGAACACTTGCTCTTGGAATCCAGATACCATGCTGTAAGAACACCAAGCAGCTCCTATACAGGAATTATCAACTTGCTAGCCATCTGAGTAAATCATCTTCAAATTAGATCCTTCAACCCTTAAACTTGCTTCATGGAACAGAGACCAGCCTTCCCCACTGAGTCTTGCCTATATTGCAGATTCATAAGCTAAATGAATGATTGTTATTTTAAGTCACTAAAGTTTTGAGTTTTGTTGTGTTCTGTTTTTTGTTTTGTTTTGTTTTGTTTTTTGAAATGGAGTCTTGCTCTGTTGCCCAGGCTAGAGTGCAGTGGCACAATCTTGGCTCACTGCAAGCTCCGCCTCCCGGGTTCACCCCATTCTCTTGCCTTATCCTCCTGAGGAGCTGGGATTACAGGCGCCCACCACCACACCCTGCTAATTTTTTGTATTTTTAGTAGAGACGGGGTTTCACCGTGTTAGCCAGGATGGTCTTGATCCCCTGACCTGGTGATCCACCCGCCTCGGCCTCCCAAAGTGCTGGGATTACAGGTGTGAGCCACCGTGCCCAGCCTGTTGTGTTGTTAGTTTTGCTTTTGTTTTTATAAAGCATTGGGTAACCATAAAAGGCATCCATGAAAAACCTTCAGCTAGCATCATACTTACTGTTGTAATAATGAATTCTTCCTCAGGTCATGTAGAAAGTAAGGATGTCCAGTGTTACAACTTCTATTTAACCAGTGAACCTAGGCAAAATAAAATAAAATAAAATAAAAATAAAAATATAAAGATAAGTAGGAACAAATTTTATAAATTTTATTCAAATAAAACTGTAAAACTAAATAGAAAATAAAATTTAAAAATGAAAAAGTAAAACTGCTTCTTTTCACAGATGACACAATTATTTACACAGAAAGTCTTAATGGATCTACAAACCAACTATTAGAAATTATAGGTGGTGCTTGCTATGGCAGCACATACACTAAAATTGGAACAATGCAGAAAAGATTAGCATGACATAAATATTCATGAAGTGATAAGTCAAAATAGCAAAATGAGGCCAGGTGCGGTGCCTCAAGCCTGTAATCCCAGCACTTTGGGAGGCTGAGGTGGGTGGATCACCTGAGGTTAGGAGTTTGAGAGCAGCCTGGCCAACATGGCAAAACCCCATCTCTACTAACAATACAAAAAAATTAGCCGGTGTGGCAAGTGCTTGTAATCCTAGCTACTGGGGAGGATGAGGCAGGAGAATTGCCTGAACCCAGGAGGTGGAGATTGCAGTGAGCTGAGTTCGCGCCACTGCACTCCAACCTGTGAGACCCCGTTTCACACAAACACACACACAAGAGAAAAAAGGATGGGCCGAGTGTGGAGGCTCACACTGTTCATCCGAGCACTTTGGAAAGCCGAGGATGGCAGATTTCTTGAGCCCAGGAGTTCTTTGCCTCAGCCTCCCGAGTAGCTGGGACTACAGGCTACTCCTTGTTTTGTTGAAACAGCTCATAAAACATTGTACCACAGGTATTGAGACAGTAGAGGTATTTCTGTTGATATCAGGGACAAATACTAATAGAATAACTCCCATTCCAGTGTGTACATATTTGAAAGCCCATGTACATGATAAATATATTAACCTTTTGCCAATTTTTTTTTTTTTTTTTCAGACCGAGTCACTCTTTCACCCAGGCCGGCGTGATCTCAGCTCACTGCAACCTCCGCCTCTCAGGCTCAAGTGATTCTCCTGCCTTGGTCTCCTGAGTAGCTGGGATTACAGGTGTGCACCATCACACCCGGCTAATTTTTATATTTTAGTAGAGACTGGGTTTCACCATGTTGGCCAGGCTGGTCTTGACCTCCTGACCTCAAGTGATCACCCACCTCAGCCTCCCAAGGTGTTGGGATTACAGGCCTGAGCCACCGCATGCGGCCCCTTTTGTCCATTTAAAAAATGAATAACAAAAATAAGGATAACCGTTATACCACTGATATTTAACATGGCTCTGGATGTTCTAGTCGATGCCTCCAGAACAGAGAAGTATATAAATATGAAAAATTGGTGCATACCACCACGCCCAGCAAGGAAACATCTTTTAAAAATGGGAGACACCAGGCCATATTAGAGGCTCAATCCAATAGTGAGGGTGAGGCCGATGATACAAGAGAATGAGGCAATAATTGAAGAAGCGATGCCCTTGAGAATGTTTGAAGCCCTGGGATGCCAAGTGCAAGTGGAGCAATTGCCCTTTAACCAGAACACTTTGTCTGCTATTGAAAAAAAGTGGAAAGAGGTTATGAAGAGTGGTTCAGATATCAGAAGTTTTGCAGAATTTATTTATTTATTTTTTTTTTTGAGACTGATTTTTGTATTTTTAGTAGAGACGGGGGTTTCACCATGTTGGCCAGGCTGGTCTTGAACTGCTGACCTCGTGGTCCTCCCGCCTCAGCCTCCGGAAGTGCTGGGATTACAGGCGTGAGCCACCATGCCCGGCTAGAAGTTTTGTAGATTTAGCCGTGGCATGATCAAGGAGTTCCTATCTGACAGTTTCTATTTTCTCAATGAGTTTTCCGAAGAAAAGGGGAGAGGCTGTTTCCCAGGGAGTGTGCAGTTCTGAAGGCTAACCAGGGACGCCTGGTTTTGGGCAACTACAAACGGTTGTGTTCAAACTGAGCGTGTGTCAGACACGGGTTGGAGTGTCAAGAGAGAAGGCAGGAGCGTTTAGTCTGCTTCAGATATGAAGACTCCCTGTATCCCCAAGGCGGCGGCCAGAGCCCTGCTGCTCAGGAGAGGCGCCCCACGTGGAACGTGTCGGCGCAGGAGGGGCGGCCTGGCGCAGGTCATTTGGGACCTCGGCGGGTTGGCGCATGCGCGCGAGACGCGCAGGCGCGCGCCCCTTTCCCTTTTCTGAGTTTTCTGTGTCACCCCGATTCCGCTGGTTTTTCTGGCTATAGTTCGCCGGTTTTTCTGGCCATAGTCCCCGCGTCCAGCATGGAGCAGCTGGACGAACTGGAGCTGCTGATGGAGAAGAGTTTTTGGGAGGAGGCGGAGCTGCCGGCGGAGCTGTGAGCGGAGCGCGGGGAGGGTGTGGGAACAAAGCGGGAGATTTGAAAGAAGGAGCGGGAGAGGCCGCGTCCGCACCTCCGCAGACTGACCAGGCCCAGGGCGCAGGGGCCCGGGGCAGCTCCCTGGGCACCCGACGAGCCTCTGGAGTCGGGGCCCGCCTCCCAAGGTGTTCTTTGGGGCCACCCTCAGCCAGAGCCTGGACTTTCCCTCGCCCAGCAGTTCATTGTTTCCCTTGATTTCACCCGTTTCCCTAATTTGAGGAGCTTCGGCCACTGAAATGTTTTTATAATAGGAAATTGCGACCGCCCTAGGCTTTTCTCGATGTTTAGTTGGATTAACTTATCCTTGGGAGATCTCTGCACTCTCAGCCTGGTGTATATAAATGATCAGAGGAAGTTAACCACGGTCATAATGTGGAATTACTTTCAATATAATAGCAATAATGCTAATTAGCGTTGAGGGATTTTTGCGTTTGGGCTTTTGATCAGCAATACCTTTTGAGAAACATCTTTAAGGCATCATAGCCAATCTTGGGAAATTCATGGCCTGAGGCTAGGTGGAGTACATGAATAAAGCGTTTGCAAAATAATAGAACGGTCACATAACAAAAGATAACTTGTAGGGTAATGTGAAAGGCATTTGGTGTTATCACTGGAGAGGTAATGACTTTGGACTCTCGGTTGGTCCCTCACTGATGCCGCAGTCAAACGGGGAAGACTTAAGAGGTACTTAATAGGAGAAGGGCTGTTTTCTTGAGGAGAGATTATTATTTTGCATAATTTTAGACGGCTTGGACCGATGGATGAAAGTATTGAGAAATTGACTTACCCACTTTAAATATAAGGAATAAAGTTCTGAATTACTATGTAAAGGATTGAGCTAATTCGATACGTATTAAGCTTGCGTTCTGTCCAGTGAGATTTTATCGAAAGATTTCCGGCATTACGTTAGCAGGTTGGACTAAATTATTTCTAAGTACAATTCTGTGGCTCATGGTAGGACTTTCAGTGAACCACGGACACTACCCTTTTCCATAACATAAGACTCATATTTACAAAAAGAATCTTGTCCAAAACATCTCCTTTTACTTGTACTTTGGGAAGGTTTGCACCAATGGTAGAAATTTCTTGTTTAATAATATCCAATTTATACTTTCCTTTCTTTTTCTTTTTTTCCCCCCCAGAAACGGAGACTTTTTCTGTCGCTCAGGAAGGGGCGCAGTGGCATGATTGTATCTCACTGCAGCCTCAAACTCCTGGGCTCAAGCAATCCTTCCTCCTCAGCCTCTTGAGTAACTGGGACTACAGGTGTGCATCATCATGCCTGGCTTCCAGTGTATTCTTAATCCTCATTGTAATGGGTATCCCACAGAACTCCTTACAGAAGTTAAAATGGAAAATCTCATAACATGAGCATGTTTGAAATGGCATTACTTCTGGGAAGTTTTTATAATAGGAATTGTGTGTCTTTGCTCTCTTAATTTTACCTATTTTGGCTAAATGTCATTGCAATAAGCTTTTCAGAAGAAAGAAACCTAGAAAACTGGAAGATTGGTTTGTAGATAAAACAGATTGGATGGCTTCTTATTTCATGGTTGTGCTAAAATAGTTTTGTATGTGTGTGCTTTAGATTTCAGAAGAAAGCGGTAGCTTCCTTTCCCAGAACAGTTCTGAGCCGAGGAATGGATAACCGGTACCTGGTGTTGGCAGTCAGTACTGTACAGAACAAAGAGGGAAACTGTGAAAAGCACCTGGTCATCACTGCTTCACAGTCACTAGAAAATAAAGAACTATGCATCCTTAGGAATGACTGGTAATTTTTATGTGACTTTGAGCACTGATTCGAGTCTTAAGGGTACCATCGTAAAACTCATCAAATGGCTTCTGTGAATGTTACTATAATTTAATTGTTTAAAAGGGAGTAGATTTGATCCTAGCCTAATTCTGCATGAAAATTGTATCTATTACTCTTGTATCTCAAGTATCATATTCCAAAAATTGACTTTTGTTGTCATTTGAAGATCATGTGGGCCAGACATGGTGGCTCACACCTGTAATCCCAGCACTTTGGGAGGCCAAGGTGGGCGGATCACCTCAGGTCAGGAGTTTGAGACCAGCCTGACCAACATGGAGAAACCCCATCTCTACTAAAAATAAAAAAAATTAGCGGGACGTGGTGGTGCATGCCTGTAATCGCAGCTACTCTGGAGGCTGAGGCAGTAGAATTGCTTGAACCCGGGAGATGGAGGTTGCGGTGAGCCGAGATCATGCCATTGCACTCCAGCCTGGGTAACAAGAGCAAAACTTGGTCTCAAAAAAGAAAAAGAAAAGAAAAGAAAATCACGTACAAAGAGCCTTATTAATGACTACTTCCTATTTCCCAGTACATTCTAAGATTGCAGCTTAAACGCATGCTAGTGTTAACTAAGAGCAAAATTAATTAACACATATGAACATTCTTAGGCCTTAGATTTCTCTGCTCAGAATGTGGTATGTGAGGGATGGAGTGTAGATGCAGAAAAGCTAGAGGTCTAACTTTGGCTCTTCGTTTAAGCTGTGAATTAGTTTGTTTTTGTTGTTGTTGTTGTTGTTTTTGGAGATGGAGTCTTGCTCTGTTGCCCAGGCTGGAGTGCAGTGGCGCGATCTCGGTTCACTGCACCCTTTACCTCCCAGGTTCAAGTGATTTTTCTGCCTTAGCCTCACAAGTAGCTGAGATTACAGGCGTCCGCCACCACGCCCGGCTAATTTTTGTATTTTTAGTAGAGACAGGGTTTCACTATGTTGGCCAGGCTAGTCTTGAACTCCTGACCTCAGGTTATCCACCCGCCTCGGCATCCGAAAGTGCTGGGATTACAGGCATGAGCCACCGCGCCTGGCCTAGTTTGAACTAGTTCAGTATGATTTTATTCTTGCTACACTGGGTTTGGCTTCATGCTTCAAGACTTATAGAAGCTGTAGATTTCCTATAAGTCTTAAGAAAGAATTATTAAAACAACCCAATTCATAATTGGAGCTATATATATTACATTAGTAAAGGTTTTTTGATAGCTTTTGCAATAGACTTTACTGGCACTAAGTTGTTTTTCTCTTTGGGATTTATAGAAGACTCTTGAGTATTCTCAGATGTGTTTGGCACATAGAAAGGGATAGAGTGACTAGGAGTTGTTTTAGAAGACTTTATCCTGGTGTTTTATTTTATTTTTTTGAAGACCCAGAAATTTAGAAATATTTTTTTCTTCTTCAGATAAAATACTCATTTATTTTTTTGAAGCCTCCCTAATGTGTTTAATGTAGGAACCTAAGCAATGTATTTATACTTTAACTTTGCTTTATTTTCAGGTGTTCTGTTCCAGTAGAGCCAGGAGATATCATTCATTTGGAGGGAGACTGCACATCTGATACTTGGATAATAGATAAAGATTTTGGGTATTTGATTCTGTATCCAGACATTCTGATTTCTGGCACAAGCATAGCCAGTAGTATTCGATGTATGAGAAGAGCTGTCCTGAGTGAAACTTTTAGGGTAAATAATAGTAACAGTTAATGTTTCTGCAGGGTCTGAGAGTGTTACAGAGCACTTTTACATTTATTATTTCAGTTAATCCTCTCAGCAACCCTATAAAATAAATGGTATTAATCAGCTGCATTTTATAGATGAGGAAAAATGGGCTCAGAGAGGTTAAGTGACTTGCCCCGCAGCCACATAACTACGAGGTGGCAGTGCTAGGACTAAAGGCCAGGTGCCTGAGTCCTTCAAATCTTGTTCAGGGCTCAATAAGTAATTATAGTAAGAAAATTAATTTAAATGATAAACTTTTAAATTTAAACACAGCTAGACATTTCCAAACTTGGCTTCATGTGATTCCCACTAAACTAAAAATAAATGTGTAAGTCACTGTTTAAAAATGTATTTTGGTAGAAAAATTAACCAGGTGTGGTGGCATGCACCTGTAGTCCCAGCTACTCAGGAGACTGAGGCAGGAGAATCGTTTGAACCCGGGAGGCGGAGGTTGTAGTGAGCCGAGATCAGGCTACTGCATTCTAGCCTGGGCGACAGAGCGAGACTCTGTCTCAAAACGAATAACAAACAAATTGTATTTTGGGCTATTTCAAACATACTAAGAGATGATTGTAATAAACTCCCATGTACTCAACACCCAGCTTTTAATTTATTTTTCTTGAAACATGCAGTTTTATTTTAAAATAAAATAAGTCTCAAAAAAAAAGTGTATTTGGGGGCTGGGCGCAGTGGCTCATGCCTGTAATCCCATCACTTTGACAGGCCGAGGTGGGAGGATCACGAGGTCAGGAGTTCAAGACCAGCCTGACCAACATGGTGAAAACCCGTCTCTACTAAAAATACAAAAATTAGCCAGGCATTGGGGCGCGTGCCTGTAATCCCAGCTACTCGGGAGACTAAGGCAGGAGAATCGCCTGAACTCTGGAGGCGGTGGTGCAGTAAGCGGAGATCCTACCACTGCACTTCATTCAGCCTAGGGGACAGAGTGAGACTCCATCTCAAAACAAACAAAAATGTATTTTGGGCTATTTCAAACATACAAAGAGATTATTGTAATAAACTCCCATGTACCCAACACCCAGCTTTTTATTTATTTTTCTTGAAACATGTACTTTTATTTTATTTTGAGTCTCACTGTGTCACCCAGGCTGGAGTGCAGTAGGTCACCAAAGCCTTGACCTCCCAGGCTCAAGCAATCCTCCTACCTCAACCTCCCGAGTAGCTGGAGCTATAGGCATGAGCTACTGTGCTTGGCCTGAATATTAAGTTTTAAAAAACTTTTTGGGCCAGGCGCAGTGGCTCACGCCTGTAATCCTAGCACTTTGGGAGACCGAGGTGGGCGGATCACGAGGTCAGGAGATCGAGACCATCCTGGCTAACACGGTGAAACCCCATCTTCGCTAAAAATACAAAAAATTAGCCGGGTGTGGTGGCAGGCGCCTGTAGTCCCAGCTACTCGGGAGGCTGAAGCGGGAGAATGGCATGAACCTGGGAGGTGGAGCTTGCAGTGAGCCGAGAGAGAGAGCCGGCCACTGCACTCCAACCTGGGTGACAGAGGGAGACTCCGGCTCAAAAAAAAAAAAAAAAAAGAGTCTAGCCTAATACAAGAGTTAATCAAGAAATGAAGTATGAAGTAGTTTTTCTTTTTGAGTAGAGAAAAATTCTTTGCCAAAAATCTCTGCTGTAGGTTAAAAAATATTTTTTTCTTCCCAAACATTACTGTTAAGTAGGTTTAACTTTTATATTTGAATGGTATCTTTTACTTACATGAGTTTATCAGCTATACCTTTATTGACTTTTCTATTGGGTGGATTATCAAGTGAAATTAGAGTACAATACTTTAAATATTATTTGAGAACATTTTGAATTTTTAAATATTGGTTAATTTTTTTTCAAAATGGAGAACATTGATTTTAAAAGTAACTCATACTCAGCCTGGCCAACATGGTGAAACCCTGCCTCTACTAAAAATACAAAAAATAAAAGTTAGCTGGGCATGGTGGCACACACCTGTAATTCTAGTTATTTGGGAGGTTGAGGCATGAGAATCATTTGAATCTGGGAGGTGAAGGTTGCAGTGAGCTGAGATTGTGCCTGAGTGTCAGAGCAAGAGTCTGTCTCAAAAAAAAAAAAAGTAACTCATGCAATAATAATTCAGACAATTCTGAATAGAAGAAAGTGAAAGTCACTTATAATTCCACCCACCAGAAAAAAAATTGTTTAATATTTTGGCATTTGTCTTACCAGTGCATTTTGGCTATGGTGGTTTAATAGATTAGATAGTAAATATATACAATTGTGTCTGTTAATATGTTGTGAAATAAATTGTGTGACTTGTTTTTGTAGAGCTCTGATCCAGCCACTCGCCAAATGCTAATTGGTACGGTTCTCCATGAGGTGTTTCAAAAAGCAATAAATAATAGCTTTGCCCCAGAAAAGCTGCAAGAACTTGCTTTTCAAACAATTCAAGAAATAAGACATTTGAAGGAAATGTAAGTAGTTATAAGAGGAACTGCAGGTATAATTTCATTATATAACTTCTGTCCTAGAAACTATAAAGTATTTGTATAGACTATCCAATATAAATTAGTGTAATCTAAAATGCAGATTTCACAGTTCTAGTACACTGTTGGAACTCTGTGTAGAGTTTTTGAAATTGCCCAACAGGATCTTTTTGGGTAAAAATATCTAAATATTTTGTACATGTGCGTAACAGATTCCTTAACTACTTTCAGAGAATGTATAAAGAACTTTTTTTTTTTTTTTTTTTTTTGAGACGGAGTCTCGCTCTGCCGCCCAGGCTGGAGTGCAGTGACAGGATCTCAGCTCACTGCAAGCTCCGCCTCCCGGGTTCACGCCATTCTCCTGCCTCAGCCTCCCGAGTAGCTGGGACTACAGGCACCTGCCACCGCGCCCGGCTAGTTTTTTGTATTTTTTTAGTAGAGACGGGGTTTCACCGTGTTAGCCAGGATGGTCTCGATCTCCTGACCTCGTGATCCGCCCGTCTCGGCCTCCCAAAGTGCTGGGATTACAGGCTTGAGCCACCGCGCCCGGCCATAAAGAACTTTTTTTGCATTAGTTCTAGAAACAGTGTAATATACTGAGAATTATATGGGGTTGGGAATAAGATGAAACTAGTTTCAAAATACAGCTTTATGACCAGGTGCAGTGGCTCACGCCTATAATCCCAGCACTTTGGGAGGCTGAGGCAGACGGATCACCAAGTCTGGAGATTGAGACCATTCTGGCTAACACGGTTAGCCCCTGTCTCTACTAAAAATACAAAAAATTAGCTGAGTGTGGTGGTGGATGCCTGTAGTCCCATCTTCTCGGGAGGCTGAGGCAGGAGAATGGTGTGAACCTGGGAGGCAGAGCTTGTAGTGAGCTGAAATCACACCACTGCACTCCAGCCTGGGTGACAGAGTGAGACTCTGTCTCAAAAATAAATAAATAAATAAATAAAAATAAAAAATGTAGCTTTACAGTATTTTTTTTGGGGGGGAGATAGGGGTCTTGCTATCTTGTCCAGGCCTTACTCAAACGACTGGGCTCATGTGTTTCTCCCCACCTCAGCCTCCTGTGTATCTGAAACAACAGGTACATGTCACCATGCCTGGCCTGCCTTACCAGTTTTTGTTTTGTTTTTGAGATGGAGTCTTGCTCTGTCACCCAGGGTGGCGTGCAGTGGCTTGCTCTTGGCTCACTGCAGCCTCCACCTCCCAGATTCAAGCAATTCTCCTGCCTCAACCTCCCGAGTAGCTGGGATTACAGGCATAAGCCACCACACCTGGCTAATTTTTTTGTATTTTTAGTGAAGACGGGGTTCCGCCACTTTGGCCAGGGTGGTCTTGAACTCATGACCTCCAGTGATCAACCCACCTCGGTGTCCCAAAGTGCTGGGATTACAGGCATGAGCCACCATGCCTGGCCTAAAATTTTGATACATATTACCAAATTGCTCTCTATAGACATTGTCCCAGTTTACATTTGTACTGACAATATATGAGACTTTGTGAGACCGTATGGTCATCTACATCATTTTTAATCAACTGGAAACTGCCTGATTTCAAACAGCCTTATGCAAGGATAACCTTCACTTTCAGTAGTCTTAACTGTGTGTTTCTCTAGATCTTTTTGGATGCTTTGGTATTAGCAGTTGCTTCCTGGCTTGAGGAATTTCAGCTTCTCTTTCAACCTGCGGCTGCTATTTTGCTTAAGACAATTTTGGCAGAGCTAGCATTGTTAATTTTGTTTTCTCTATTGGACTGGCTCTCTCAGAGGGCTGACACAACTCTGCTCTGTCAGTCTTGGTAAGCTGGAGGTGGCAGAAACCTAGGAAAGTAACAGCTTATTAAATCTGGTATTAGAAATATTGCACAGTTATATGGTAAATATGTAGTGTCCTAAAGTCTCAATGTCTCATGAATGTGTTATTATACTGCTCCCTTGAGCAAGTGAGAAAAATTATAAGTTGTATCTTTTTTTTTTTTTTGCGACAGAGTCTCGCTGTGTTGCCCAGGCTGGAGTGCAGTGGCTCACTAGGCTCACTGCAAGCTCCGCCGTCTGGGTTCACGCCATTCTCCTGCCTCAGCCTCCTGAGTAGCTGGGACTACAGGCGCCTGTCACCATGCCCGGAACAGTGCTGACCTATAGTTAGCACTGTATTTGTTGTTATCATCATGGTCTTTATACCTTAATGATTTTCTTTTTTCTTTTTGAATCTCGCTCTGCTGCCCAGGCTGGAGTACAGCACCGCGATATCCTCTCATTACAACTTCTGCCTCCCAGGTTCAAGCGAGTCTCCTGCCTCATCCTCCTGATTAGCTGGGATTACAGGCGTGCGCCACCGCGCCCGACTACTTTTTTTGCATTTTTTAGTAGGATGGGGTTTCACCATGTTTGCCAGGCTGGTCTCGAACTCCTGACCTCAGGTGATCCACCCTCCTCAGCCTCCCAAAGTGCTGGGATTACGGGTGTGAGCCACCACGCCCAGCCTATACTTTAATGAGTTCTTGTCATCAGCTAAGTGCTTTACATACATTGTTCTATAATCCTCAGACTAACTATGTAAGGTAGTTATTATCTCCTCCTTACAGATGAGGAAACAGGCTTAATTAACAGTGACTTGCTCTTGGTCATATATCTGGTAGTGCAGAGTTAGGATTCAAACCTAGGTGTGATTTTTATATACAAACTGATATGCCCCTACCACCCTAGAGTAGTTATTAAGATTGGGGAGCTTAAATATAAAGAAGGAACTGGAATAATCATCCTGGGAGGGTAAGTTTATAACAGCAGTTCTCAAAACTTTTGCTCTCAGGACCCCTTTACACTAAAAAATTATTGAGGACTGGAAAGAGCTTCTGTTTATGTGGGCTATATCTATGATTAATTACTGTACGAGAAATTAGAACAGATGTTTATTAATTCATTTGAAATTAACATGTATATTCATTTATTTTGTTGTTGTTATTGAGGCAGTCTTGCTCTGTTGCCCAGGCTGGATTGCAATGGCATGACCTTGGCTCACTGCAACCTCCGCCTCCTGGGTCAATCGATTTTCCTGCCTCAGCCTTCCGAGTAGCTGGGATTACAGGTGCCTGCCACCACGCCTGGCTAATTTTTGTGTTTTTAAGTAGAGAGGGGGTTTCACCATGTTGGCCAGGCTGGTCTTGAACTGACCTCAAGTGATCCACTCCTCTCGGCTTCCCAAAGTGTTGGGATTACAGGCATGAGCCACCGCACCTAGCCTAAAATATATATTCATTTAAAAATATCAATCTATGCTTGTTAACATAACATTTTAATGAAAAAAACTGTTGTAAAAAATAAATAATGCATGTCATTGTTTTACGTTTTTTCAGTTTCTTCTTTCTTCTTTCTTCCTTATTTATTTTTTTTTTTGAGGTAAGGTCTCTCTCTGTTGCGCAGGCTGGAGTGCTGTGATGAAATTATCACCCACTATAGCCTCAAACAATCCTCCAGCCTCTATTTTTTTTTTCTTTCTTTCTTTTTTTTTTGAGATGGAGTTTTGCTCTTGTTGCCCAGGCTGGAGTGCAATGGCATGATCTCAGCTCACCGAAAACTTCCGCCTCCCAGGTTCAAGCAATTCTCTTGTCTCAGCCTCCTGAGTAGCTGGGATTACAGGCATGTACCACCATGCCTGGCTAATTTTGTATTTTTGGTAGAGACGGGGTTTCTCCATGTTGGTCAGGCTGGTCTTTAACTCCCCACCTCAGGTGATCCACCCGCCTCGGTCTCCCAAAGTCTTGAGATTACAGGTGTGAGCCACAGAGCCTGGCCGGTTTTTTTTTTTTTTTTCCTTAAAGCTACAGCACCCAGTATTCCCAGGTGGTCTCCCAAGTAGTAACCAAGCTCAACCCTGCTTAGCTTCTGAGATAAGATGAGATCAGCTGCGTTCTGGGTGGTATGGGTGTAAACCAAGCCTCTATTTTTGCAAATGTTTTAAAGTATGACTTCATAGAAGATCGTGGATTCTTGTGTCTGCCTCTGCATTCAAAATATTTCTATATTTTATGTCATGTAGCCTCAGAAGATTCAACTGTACTGTCATGAAAGGAAAATGATAAATAATGTATTCATATTGTTATGACATAATTTTGACCTTGTAAGAACCCTGAAAAATTGATACTTGGGTTTTTTTGTTTCTGCAGATTTCTCACGTAAGAAGTTAACATTCCTATATACTGTCCTTTGATGTTGTAAGACGGTTACTGCCTTTCTGTCCATATGACCCTTTTTCCTCTTTAACGTTTCTACTTTCCATTGCTTGGTTTCAGGAGCAATATCTCAATTTTTTTTTTATATCCCAAAGGTATAACTGGGACTCTTCCAATTAGACCATGGTATGAATTAGAGCAAATTATCTGAAATTTGATGTCATGTCACTGTTTCAGTGTTATTTGGATTTTTTTTTTTTTTTTCAGACAGGGTCTCACTGTCACCCAGGCTGGAGTACAGTGGTGAGATCACAGCTCACTGTAACCTCAAACTCTTGGGCTGAAACGATCCTTCCGCTTCAGCCTACTGAAGAGCTGGGACTATAGTTCCACACCACCATGCTTGTTGTTATTTGGATGTTTTTTAAAAATTGTGGTTAAATACATATAAAAATCACTGTGTTAGGCTGGGCGTGATGGCTCACCCCTGTGATCCCAGCACTTTCAGAGGCCGAGGCAGGCAGATCACGTGAGGTCAGGGGTTCAAGACCAGGCTGGCCAACATGGTGAAACCCTATCTTTACTAAAAATACAAAAATTAGCTGGGCATGGTGTCGTATGCCTGTGGTCCCATACAGGCATACGACATACAGGCATAGTCACTGAGGGGACTGAGGCAGGAGAATCACTTGAACCTGGGAGGTGAAGGTTGCAGTGAGCCGAGATTGCGCTAACTTGGGCAACAAGAGCGAAACTCTATCTAAAAAA